CCGGGAGATCCACGGGCGGCGCCCAGAAGGCCTTTGCAGGGCCAGAGCGGGCCGTGGGTGCCGGAAAACTTCGGTGCCTTCTCCTCGGAGGCGGGAAGAGCGAATCTTGCGATCGTCTGGCTCGCTGTGGAGGAGAAGGAGGAGAAGGAGGAAAAGGAGGAGGAGGCGGAGGAGGCGGAGGAGGAGGATGGTTTTCGGGCGAGCTTCCCGTTGGCAGCCGTGGATCGCGATCCTCGCCCATTCCGAGGAGTAATCATATTCCCGGAGAGGCTTCTGGGAACAATGGTTTCTTACGATCTTCTCGTTCTTCTGGTACTCTACCCTCGGGGCCTCGACGGCCTTCACGACGAACCCTGCCTGTGGCACCTGCACCTGGCCGATATTTCCAAAGCCGTTTGCCCGCGGCACTTCTTCGACCATCTCGGCATCTCAGAGCGCGGGCTGCGGACGCACCCTGGACCTCTGGGGTGCCCCACCGCGTCATCGGCACACCTGCACCATTGGCACCTCGACCAGCTCCGCGACGCACTCCGCCCGCGGCTCCCGCCCCTCGGTGATCTCCCGGGCATGCTCTCAAGCCCCGCCACCTCCACGAGCTCGTCGGTCCCGCCTCTTCCCGCGAAGGTCGGCGAAGGCGGGGATGATCGGACGGGGCTGAGACGAGGATGAATCCGTTCCAGAGCGTTCTAGAATGCTCTCAGAGCGTTCTGGACCGCTCTGAGAAGGCCGCGGCACCCGAGGCATCCTCCAGAGCCGCCGGATCTCGGAGATTCTTGCTTCATCTTCACCCGATTTTATCCTCGTCTTGGCCTGCGCTGATCCAAGAGCTCTCCGCGGAGACCTCCGAAAGCTGTGCGCGGAGAGTTCCGCAAGTTGACGCTCCGCCGCGAGGCCGTGCTTCCTTTCAGCTCCTCCAGGCGGCGAGCGCTGCGGCTCCGATGCTGCTGCTCGCCCCGGAGAGGCCCCCCGTCGCCGGGGGGTGCCGCTGCTGCTGCCACTGCCGAGCTGCCGATGCCGGCCCTGCCTTAGATGGCAGGGGGACGAGGGGTAGGGCTTCTCAGAAGCACCCCTGCTCCTCAGAAGGCTCGGGCCTTACTTCTAGTGTGATTAGAGGGAGGGCCCCGGCCCACGTCCTCACCCGATTCTATCTCCAGAGGTCCGATGCCGTGATTTTTTCGATACGCGGTCCCCGGAAGTCTCGACCCATTCCCCAGGACCGGTTTTTCATCCCGAGTCTTTTTTTGACGGTCCCGAGGCCCGGCGAGGGCCCCTAGGGGCAGAAATTTGCGAAAAACCTCCGTCTTGATTTTTCCAACACGTTGGCTCTTTGGGTCCTCGTCCTGGTCTGTCGGAGCTCGCATGGAGCCCTCGGTCGCCGTCGTGGCCGTTCCTGCCCGACCTCGCGGGTGCCACGGCCCTCGGCACGTGCAGCCTCGTGGGGGTTTCTCTTCCCCGGCCCGCTGCGCCCGCAGCGCCCTCCTCGGAGTGCTCGGGGTCCCCCCGGCTGCGGGAGCTTCGTCGCCTCGTCGTTCTTCTCGAGGTGCTCTGCAGTCGCTGGGCATCTCTTGGCTGGCGACGCGCTCGGTCTTCGCGACGGGCATCTCCTGGCTCCTCGGGGTTGGTGTGCAGGTGCTGTGCGGGTGCTGTGCGGGTGCTGTGCGGGTGCTGTGCGGGTGCTGTGCGGGTGCTGTGCGGGTGCTGTGCTGGTCGGCTGCGGCTGCGCGGCTGCGCGGCTGCGCGGCTGCGGCTGCGCGGCTGCGGCTGGGCGGCTCGGGGCTGGTGTCAGTTCGCCAAGGCACTGCGCTCTCGCTCTGGACTCCTCGTGGTTTGCCGAGAAAGCGCGATCTCGACAAACATTCGGTGTCGTTTTACCGATCCCCATCCCCACTCTCATGCCCTTCGAGACCCCCACCAAAGTGCCACCCCAGTTGGGGATACACCCCTCGGAACCCGAAGGGAACAGCTTATATTTTCCCAACTAGGGGGGTAAAGCGGCCAGTGGGGCCCAGGCCACGCCGCTGGGGATGGGGATCGAATAAACGATACTCATGGTGGTCGTTGGTTCAAAGATGGGGTTCCGAGTGATGGGGACCTAAGGATAGGAAGGGGTCCAAGGGTGGATCTACAGTCAACCCGCACAGTAAGGAGTGGCAACCTTCCCAAGGGTGCCCTTGCATCCATGCCTCCTCGGTCCATCCTTCGCCACTTTCGCTGGTCGCGCCCCGCTCGAAAAGCTTCGAAATGGGCGTCCAATGCTCTTGCATCCTTATCGCGCATCCTGACTATACGGTTTGACTGTACCTGCTGCACTTTACGATCTTCTAGGCCTTCTGGTACGCTGCGTGCGTTGGGCACCTCGGTTGCCTCACGTCCGCTTTCTTCTCGCCCTGCTGGGTGCAAGCACTCTGGCCGTACAACTACCCAAAGATATTCTCAACCTCTGCCTGCGGTACCTTCATGCTCTTCACGATCTCCTTGTTGCCGACCTTCGGCACTTCGT